CTAAATGACCGCATCTGACATTATCAAAATATTACAACTGCAAAAACGTGGGGGTTATCCAGCAACAGCCGTACCTATGGAGGTCGACGTGGCAAGAGGGGCAAAGGCAAAGGCAAAGAGAAGGGCAAAGGAGAGCAGAAAGGCAAAGGGAAAGACGACAGCAACAGGAAAGGCTTCTCGATCAAGGGAGCAACGGGAAGTTTTGAAAAGGAGGAAAGTCCAAAGGAAGGGACAAAAGGCAAAGACAGCAAAGGCAGGGACAACCGACCCACGTGTCACAATTGTGGGAAGAAAGGTTACTTTGCCAGAAAATGTTGGAGTCAGAGGAGCACCCAACAAATTCAAGCCGCAGATGACAACCAGTCCATTGCCAGTCAGGGTGCGTCACCGATTTCCAGGCGCACACTGCGGCGGTCAGACGGATGATGCGAGTGAGCCCACCAGACGCCTTGAAGACAGATGTGTGTCTTCGATGGAGTGAGCCGGGTGAAATTGTAGAATGAAGATGTGTTTTTGGTGAATCGGTCCCCTACCAGACCCTCAGCCCAACGAAATGTCCAAGAGAGGGCAAGGACAGAACGCGAGGCCTTTTCGAGAAAAAAAGAGGGGGTTGTCCTGCGGCTCGATCTTGTCGTCGTCCTTCGATCAAGGGCTGGCACGCCCGTCGCTGTCCCACTGAGGTCGCTGGCAAGGTGTATCACATGCTCCACCTGTGAACTCATAGGTTTGCTCACCATCCAACATGTGAATTGCATACTGTGCGTCCGACATCTCACCACTAATATACACCATGTGCGTAGTGCTATTGATGTCAGTGGAGCACGGAACGCTTTTGGGTTTCCCTCTGCCTATCTCACATGCCTCTGCTAACTTTTCGTTGAGACGAAGGTCTGGACGCATGATGATTCCATCGCTTGTGCTGTTGCATTTCTTTCTCAAATATATGTATTTTGTATTCATCCTCAACATCTTTAAATGGATCTTCTATCTGCATTTTTTAGCCCGACTTCTTTGTGACATGCACGATGTCGTTAGCCATGGCTGCCTTTCTACCAAGCAGGAGGTCGGTCTTCGACGTGAACACTGCTCAGCAAACCCTTCATGCGGAACAATGTGGGTTGCATCACCTCAGATTCACCTCCAGGTTTCACTGTAGAATTGCAGCTGTTCATAGGCCGGGCAAACAACGACCCGTAGTATCGGCGTGATTTTTCACGCTCTGGTTGTCACTTGTCAGGAAAGCGTCTTTGACATCCCACAACCATCAGTTGCCAAACGCCTTGTTTATCAAATTCGTCAAACACAGTGCTGTTTTTGAACTGTGTTCCAACCAAACATGCTCTGCGGCACGAACCGTCCAGGCCGTCGCAAACCTGTTTGAAATCATGTTGTAATCATGACTCTCCTGTTCGGCCTCAGGCTTGTTGACTTAATCTTCTGCTGCAATGACATCCAGCTTGCTCAAATTTTCTTCGGGAACTTCTGGCGGGTGATCGCCGTATAGCCTTTATTCCTCATCTCTGCTTTCATTTCCTTCCTTTTCACCCCAGATGTCTGCAACCATCACGTCAGGTTCATCTCCATCATACTCCCTTTCCCCACGTTTCACATCACCTGCATAGGTAGGCGGGCAAAGCCTCTCTGACTTGGCCCTGTTGGACCGTTGATGTGTTTTGCGCCCCTTTTCGTCCCACGTTCGCCTCCTGAAAGTTTGCGGTCTTCTTGTTGGGATTGTGGTGCTGCCCGTCTCATCATTAATTTTATTCCCCAGATAGCGAAGCTATGGGGTTCTTACTTCAAAAAATAGTGAGGTGCGTGCTGGTGCTGTGAGCTGGCTGTGCACGTGGCGGAGACAGGTTGCTGGTGCTGGTGCCGGGCGGTGGTGCTGGTGGTGGGTGCTGGGTGCCGGGTGCCGGTGCTCGTGCTGGTGCTGTGAGCTGGGTGTGCGCGTGGTGGAGACAGGTTGCTGGTGCTGGTGTCGGGCGCCGAAGGCGGCGCTGGGTGCCGGGTGCCGGTGCTGGTGCTGGTGCTATGAGCTGGTGCTGGTGCCGGGTGCCGGTGCTGCTGGTGCTGGTGCTGGGTGCCGGTGCTGGTGGTGTAGCTTGCATATATGTGGGGATCCTTTTTGCCCAGATAGCGAAGCTATGGGATTCTTACCTCAAATAACAACGAGCTGCCTGCGCGCGCTTTCGAAACAGGTTGCCGGTGCTGGTGGGCGGTGGAAACAGGGTGCCGTTGCTGGGTGCCGGTGCCGGGTGCTGGTGCGGGCTGTGGTGCTGGGTGAGCTGGCTGCGCGCGTGGTGGAGACACGGTGCCGGTGCTGGGTGCTGGCAGTGCGCATGGTAGAGACAGCGGGCGCCGGTGCCGCTGTTGCGCGCCGGGCTCGGTGCTGGTGCCCGCTTCTGACAGTGAAGTGATAACAACCGCCGCTTCTGACAGTGAAGGGTAGCAAACCGCCGCTTGCAGCAGTGAAGGGCGACCAAGCGCCGCTTAAGGACAATGAAGTGCAAGCAGTCATGGGCCGCATGAACTTACGCACGAAACATCATACGGTGTTGTCGCTTGAGCGTTCTTTGTCTATTAGCGCTGTGGGGTATTTACACCCTTCAGGTTCTGTTTTGGCCGACATACTTTTGTACGTATAATGTTCTATGCGTCAGGCTCTCAACCGACCATTGCACCAGCATGTTTCAGCATGCTACACACACAATAGTCGTGCTGGATACTGCCTGGCCTTGGGCGAGTGAAGCCTACGGGCTTTGCCGGTTGTGCGCATACTTTTGTGCGCAGTTCTGCACGTCGTTGCTTCAAGCGTGCTACAAAGTCAATAGTGGCCCTGGATACTGCCTGGAGTTGGGCCAATGACACTTACGGGCTTTGCTGTTTGCGCCCGTGCTTTGGTGCGCATAAACTTATACGCGCAAGATCATACGTTGTTATTCCCCAAGTAGGGATAGCTATGTGGTTGTTGTTGCAAGTAAGAATGAGCTGGCTGCGCGCGCTTTCAAAAGGGTGTCGGTGCTGGTGCTGGTGTTGTGGTCCTGGGTGCTGGTGCTGTGAGCTGGCTGAGCGCGCGTTTAAGACGGGCGGCGGGGCTGTTCGGGTGCTGGTGTCAGCTGATTGTGCGAGGTGTCGGAAGCTGGCTGCGCAGGCTGCGTACATTCTTGTTCCAGCCAGTCGCATGTCACCGGGTCGTGGGATTCTGCCTAGCTATCTGGGTCTATGCTGGTGTAACTATATTTCATCATTCGAACTTCTGCCCCCCCTCTCTCGTCAACAACTTCTGACTTTCTCTTATTGATCTTCTCCGCCATTGGGATTGGACCCTGTGGTGCTCTAAAGCTTGGTGTGATCGGTGCAGCCTGGGCTCTAAGTGCTCCTGGGGCGACAAATCCCTCACCCGCTGTCATTGGTGTTGCCAATCCCATAGAAATTTGTTTTGTCATGCCAATTTTTTTTTCTGTAGTCGGTTCTTTTCTCTTGCGGTGGTCTCCATTCCTGTATAGGCCCAAGGCCAGTCCTCAAACAAAGTTAATGTTGACACTGTTGAACTGCTTGGGAAGACGTCGAATGCTCCTGCACTCAAATGCACCTGATGGAGTCAGGGCTACATGGCCGTTTGCCCAACTCGATTTTCAATCCCGAAACCCTTGCCAGAAAACAATAATTAGCACTACCCAGCGGAGAAGCAGGGTTCATGAAACACGAGCCGGTTTGAAAAAGAGCAGAAACATGTGCCCGAGGTCGTGACCAAAGAAACTCCAAAGGTCAAAGAGAGGAGCGATTCCTAGGCAGCTGGGCCAATGACCGCCCAAACACCTTGACAGTGGCATGATGTGAATTTAAGAAAAGGTTGCCAACTGATCACTCGATATCAACGCCATTCTTACATAGCTGAATCCAGCAGATAGCGGCGCCATGCGGCGCCAAAGGATTGAGCCAACTCAGGCTCAGTTCGTTGGCGCACATCCTATTTGTGGTGGATTGGATGAGGCCAGGAAGAGTTCAAAGAGACCAAGATGAAGGCAGACGCAAAACAAAATGAGTCGATTGATGGCCCGAGGACGTGATGACGTGAAGATGGCCCCATTGATGGTGACCAGCATGATTGCAAGCACCAAGGGCAAAAACTTGGGGATGAAGTGGCATGGCTAGATTATGCTTTGTTGAGTGCTTCATCCTGAGCATGCTTGGAGCCTTGAGCGTGGCCGTGGGAATGTGGATGGTTGTGAAATGGTGGACAAGAGGTCCAAGGAACCCAACGACACAGGGTGAGACAAAAGAGCTACAGACTGATGAAACAGATGACCCAACATACATAGCATGTCAGCTGTGTCAAAGGATTGACGAAACTGCATGACCGAAGTGCCAATATGAAGCGATGTGTTGATGCACAAGCTGAACTGAAAGCAGCCTTCAAATGAGAGCGACTTGAAATTCGAGAGGCACCGCAATAGAGTGCCATGTTGGCATCATCTGTACGTGAGCGTGAACAGACATGGGTGCGCACCCTAGGACGGATGATGACAATTCATCCATGTGGTGATGTATACCACACCGACTCCAGATGCCGCTGGTTTCAGGGCAGCAGGACGTTGAGCATATGTACAATATGCAGACGGCACGCGCATGATGGGCAGCATGACGAATGACCAGTGAGACGATCCTACCCATCATGAGGTGTGTGCATTGTATGCCCACGACCGAAACATGTAGGCGCCGCTTTCGTGAGAATCAGGGCGTCACGCACTTCGCTACATGATGTGCTAAGCGTTGACTTTTCTTTTGGACAATGTGGCTGCAAAAGGCAAGCAGCCGTTGTTGGTCTTATTACATGTGCATGTGTGTTGGATTGGGGTGGCTCAAACTGGCGCAGTGTTGGGCTCTAGAAATATTACCTGGGACGGTCAATGCGGGCAGCAAAAACAACCACTTGACTCACTTACTTGATTGATTTGGACATACCATACTACCAGGCTGTAACGCTCAAACTTCATTGTTTCTGGTGGCGTCTCAGTTGTCAATACCATTCCCGATCGGAACCATAGCGGAGCCATGGGTTCCTCCGGCTTGTTGCCAGGAACCAAGTGTTCCAAAAATTGGTGACTGTTGCCACCTTGTCATCACCAAGGAGTGTTTACATGGCAGTCCTGCTGGACAAGATGGGTGCAATGATGGTGCTGCCACTTCTGCCCTTCATTGCGAGATCGATCCTGGGCTGAAAAAAAAACAAGTGTGCGCAAACAAGCCACTGGCTGCGAAAAACACGCGGTTCCGACGTCCATTTGGTAGGGCCAGCCCATCATGACTTTCAGTTGTTGATTGCTGTTGCGTGCCGTGGCGTGCCATAATTGTGCCTGAAAGGCCCACCATGCTCCTGCCCATTGAGTTGCCAGACGTTTTTTTTCTTCTGTGGTCTTATTTGATACTGAGACGTTGTCCAAGGATGGACGGCACCTCAATTGAAGTGGGGCTCCTGCAATCCTTGTACTCGTTAATGCAGGCCGGGATGGTCAAAAGAAAGCAAGGGAAAACATGGGAAACTGTTTTCAAATCTTAACGGAATGTAGAAGAAGGCATCGGACGGGACAAATGACAGGCTAACATACTTGTGTGAATTTCACCGATTGTAGCCAGGGTGTATTGCGTACAGTTGATGCACCATCGCTGCTATTTGGCTGAACAGGCGCCTTGAGTCGATTCGCTGCTGCGAAAAGGAACCGTGCGAGAATCAAACTGGTAGCGGAGCAGGTTCTGAAGGGGCACCCTCAGGATCTGACTCACCCGGGGAGACTCGCTGGATCCAACCGTTGAACCCAATTGCGTGACCCTGCGCGCAATCCGTTGAACCCGTTGAACCCGTTGAACCGTTGTAATTCCAGTGCTTTGTGAAACTTTGTTGAGTTGCGATGTCGCTGGGTGGCCTGCGGTACACATCCCATGGAGGAAGTATCTCAGGACCGCAGGAGACGAAGAGCGGATCATATATCTACAGTGGCAATCCAAATGGTTTCTTCGAATGGGAATTTCGCACCAAGGTCCGTGTTGCTTTGTACAAGCAGAAACATGCGAAGAAGAAGTCAGAGAAGACCTATTCGAGCAATGGAAGCCAATTGGCCACACCAGAACGTTCTCAGAGGAGGCCGACTCATGCGACCGAGGCCGAGGATGTATCAGAAGATGAGGACGTACGATTTGAAGCCTTTGGAACCCCGAAGACTGTGATCGTAGAAGACGAGGAAGAACCAGCTCTGAGCACTGCCGGACTGGACGATGATGGAGCAGAGTATGCAACACTTGTTCACAAAGTGTTGGAAGGCCTGCGAGGTGACGCATACCTTGCAGCAAGACATGGGATTGGAGAAGCTGTTGACTCCAACTGGCATCGATGAGTTGATTTCGCGTATCCGTGCACAAGTTTTTCCACTTCGACAACAAGAAGCACGTGAGTTGTTCAGAGTGGGTCAACTCCCACATGGTCCCTTGTCTCGCCAATCGACAGAAAGCATGACTAGCTATATCTCACGAAGACGTCGTTGGTGGAGGAAGCTTCTGGAGATGGATGATGGGGTAAGTCTCTCAGACCCCATGCGTGGTGAGCTACTTCTGGAAGGCTCTGGTTTGAGCAAGACAGAACAGCTCATGATCAAGACAGCTGCAGGCGACAACCAAACTTTTGATGTCTACGCCAAATTCTTGCTTGAATTCCATGGACAGATTCACTTGCGCAGCTGGTCCGCTTTTGGCAATGCAAGCCCCCGGAGGCAGAAAGGCGGAGGCAAGTTCTCAAGCAAGTCTTCCTACAAAGGAGGAAAAGGACGCGGTTGGCAGAGATCCGCGTACATCGTTGAAGACGACTCATGGGATTATGAAGAGTCCTATGAACCAGAAGCAGAGGACGACTATGAGCATGAAGCTTATGTCGCAGCAGAAGATGAAGAACCAGAAGACGAAGAACATGAAGACTATGTCGAGGACCCTGAAGTTGCCACAGCGTTGATGGCAATGGGAGAATGTGATGATGAAGAGAATGATGTCTCAGAAGAACTGGGCAGCGCAGCTCAGCACCAGATGATAGCCTTTGTCGTGACTGACCAGTTGAAAGGCAAGAGCAAAGGCAAAGGCAAAGGATCAGGAAAAAAAGGTGGTAAAGGCAAAGGAAAAGGCAAGTATGTGTTCAGGACACAGTTGAGCGTGCAAGACAGAATCGCACGTCTAGCAAAGTTGAAGGCAGTGTCCAAATGCTTGCGTGTGGTGGAAAAGGTCATTGGGCAGGAGACCCTGCCTGCAAGTTCCCCAAGCAGAACGACAAGTCCCCCGGAGGAACGTCGTCAACGAGCAAAGCCACAGCCTACTTCGCATTAAGTGATGATGAGTCATCTGTTGAAGATGAGTACATGTGTGTTGATGTCAGTGGCCAGACCGCTGATAGCGGCACGTGCTACATGGCATACAAGATGTCCCCAAAGAAGAAGCTGGAGTTTGAGCCGTCAGATCGTGCATCCATGTCGTCAGGAGTGACCAGCAGTCCGCCATCTAGCTTTTCGATGGTCGAGCCAAATGTCCCTCGGTCGCCGCAAAGGTCCCCGCCGTCCATGCGTAGGAATAGAGACATGGAGCAAGACCTTTTGCCTGAAGGTTCACAGAGTGTCTTTGTGTTTGGTCAGCACCAAGGTTTGACATACCATGAAGTGTTGTTCAAGTACCCTGGATACTACCAATGGGGATCAGGCATTTCGCACCCTTCGCGTTGCTTGGCAGATTTCCTGACATGGGTGACCACATACTACGAAGTCAGTCCGAGTGGAGACGTGACCTTGAGAGAGCATCCCTTGACAGACATGCCCGAGGAGGCAGTCCGACGTGCCGGAGACAAGAGTGCAAAAGGGAAACCACCAAATCCCCCACTGGAGGTACCCTGCCGCCGTTGCACCAGATTCACGTTTCAAGGTTCAAATGCCTATGTTGAAAACAAGACATGCCTTGACTGTGGAAAGAGTGAGAAGAAGAAGAAAGAGAGCAAGCCCGTCACCGATCCCACACGGTGCAAACATGAAGTCACGGATCGGCGAGGCAGCTCAAAGACCACATCTCGTTTGTACTGCAAGTTGTGTGGAACCACTGTCGACGAGATGCCCCGAGAAGAGGCGCGCAAGAGAGAGGCAATGGCAAAGAGCGTAGCAAGCATGCGTTCCAATGCATTCGACACGACTGCATCAGTGATTGAACATGAGATCAACAATTCCTGCATGACACCCGAAGGAACACTAGAGATCATGGAAATGTTCAGACAGGATGTTGAGAGTGAACTGGAGTTAGGAGAGCCCGTGAGGATTGGCGTCCTGTTTGAGATCCTTGCCAATGCCGTGGAGTGCGTCAGAGAGGCCAGTCCGCAGACTTGCTTCATGGGACTTTTGTCGGATCTCAACGAAGCCACGATCGAAAACACACTTCGTCTTGTTGACATCATGGAAGACCCTGGAGTCTGGGCTGTGTTGGACGAAGGATGTAATGCAACTGTTTGTGGACAAGCATGGATCCAAAACGCCAAAGACAAGTATGCACGTCTTGGGTATGATGTAGCGGACTTGCACGTTCATGGCAGACGAGGAACGCCCGGCAAGAGGCACTTTCACGCTTGATGATGCTTCTTGCGTGCATATTTTGACCTGTGGAAAAGAGTTCCTTGGGCAGATTGCCAGTTTCGACAGGTGCAAAAATATGGTGACCCTTGGGCCCATATTGTCGAAATTTGATCCTGGCAGGCGGCTACTTGTGGTAGATTGCATGGGATTTGGGGATCCCCAGCATAACCCGCAACTGCGGGCCCACATAGGCAGCCACCCGGAGATCATTTGTGGCATGGTTGGAAGTGAAAAGACGATGGAAGCATTACACTACGTGCTCCATCACCTCAAGGAGAGCCACGAAAAGGGGCAGCAGTTGGCAGTTGTGGCCTATTGCAGGCGAAACCGACATAGATCGGTATCCTTTGGTTGGTTGGTCGCAACCGCATTCCAGAAGCTTTGCTCCGGATGCCACTTGACTTTGACCCACTCCAATCAGGAAGAGTCATGGAGCCAGATGAGTGGATCTTGCAAGGGCAAATGCGCGATGTGCAAGCATGAGTCACGCGATGCTTTGGAAGCAGCCCTGAGGTCAAGGGACTATGTCTTGAAGCAGTTCGCCCAGAAGACCGCACCGTCGTATAACCAGGTGCGTCAAGTTGTGTTTGACTCTGAGATCGAGGCCGAGGACGAGACTGAGAGGAGGACTCAAGCCCCCGTTGACACTCGCGTGTTGCCACCACCACCGTGCCCAAAGAAGCCTCCCGTCATACGCCCTGCAGTAGTGAAGGCAAGCCCAGCAAAAGCATCAGCACCTATGCCAAAAGGATCAGCCACCGTGTCCCACAGAGGACCAGGATCAGTGATGTCAGCATCACCAGCTCCACCTGTTGCAGCTTCAACGCCAAAGGCATCGGCGCCCGAGGCACCAGCGCGAGATGCAGATGAGAACCGCTACAATGAAGATGCTGAAATTCGTCGTCGTGAAAAGGCCGAGACCTCGAAGCCAGCAGAGCCAAGGAGTGAATCAGTGCCTACGAGTCAGCCTGATGCTGCAACACAGGCCTTGATGCAGACCGTTGAATTGTTGACGCAGCAAGTGAAGCAGATGCAAGAGCGTGAGAGAAGGAGATCAAGGTCAAGAGACCGATATTGGCGAGGACGATCGGACAGCAGAGAGCGCCATCGTCGAAGAAGGCGTGACGACAGCAGAGAGTATCGTCGTGGAAGAAGCCGAAGCTCATCGAGGAGGAGATCGCCATCCTTTGGTCGCATCCCAACGCCACCACAGGTGCGACCAAGGGAACCGGAAGGACCGCCGCCCAGATGGCATCGCTATGGATCCGGCCGGGGAGCCAGTCGAGAGTCGGAACGGTCGACCTGGCAGGAGCGTCGATATGCAACCTCTTCAGAGCACCCGGGAGCATCGCATTTTCCAAGAGCCACGGCTGCATGGCCATCGCATCTCGAATTCCCCACGGTGGAAGGCGATGGACCATGGAATCGCCGAGTGAACCTCGAGCACATGCCGCTTGAACTGCTTGACCGAATTTGGGATTCGGTGCCAGACATCGGGATGAAGGCATCTCGCTCAGCGCTTCGCTGGGTGGGGCCCTTTTTCCCCGGGTCCACATCTCTTACGTCCAAGGAGATTGCCATGTCCAACCACGAGCTCAATGTGATCACGGAAGCACAGCTCCAAGCCTGGACGAGCGTATTACACCGACTACATGAAAGAGGATGGTTGGCAGGTAACCAGCTTCGAGCACATCGAGGGTCAATGGGAGATGACTTTGCTGAGGGCCAGTTTGGAGAATCAGCCACTTGAGCTTGACTGGCATTCCAGAGGAAGGATCTTGATCTTCTCACCTCCATTTACCAAGCCCGTGGAATTGGAGGAAGTCGAAGAAGAGGAAGCCCCAGGAGGTGACGGACAGAATGATGACGATGATCAGGACGGCCAGGACCCGCCTGGTGACGGAGGAAGCGATGGCGGTGATTCAGGCGGAGGACCAGCAAAACGTATCAAGGCAGAATCAACGAGCATGGCAGAGCCCGTAGAGCCAGCAACCGAGATCCCCAAGGAGGAAAGCATGGAAGAGCCACGTGACGCAGAGCTTGTCGAACCGTTTCTTGGTTGCACAGCAATTGACCCGTCGAACGCGCCCAAGGAGGATGAGCACACAAAGCACTCCGGATCGTCCGACCAGTTCACGTGATGTGCTCGACCGAGACAAGTTCATCCTGAGCCGCTTTCAGGGAGAGATCGAGCTGAGTTCCGATAGCGAAGGTCACGCTTTCGTAGCTCTGGATCATCGGACTATGAACAAGGGAGAAAAACAAGCGTTCGTCACTGGCCTGCAGACTTTGCAAGAGAACGATTCGGTCTTGCATGCGCTCGTCTCGAACAATCCGTTGAGTGTGCAACACATGGTCATTGTCAAGGATGACTTGCTGACAAATGCACCCCAGAGTGCAAAGGTATTCGATGTAGGACCAAGTTGGGGAAAGACCCGCAAAGAGGTCATCAAGCACATCTCGAACAGGATCCCTGGTTTGGTAGTTTTGTTTTTGGAGAACATGGACCCTAGGAGGATTTGGCATGACATGCTCATGGAAGTTGACATGTATGGATGCAACCTTCTACTCTTCACACCACTCCTCGAGATATCAGTTGAACATTCCATTTGTCTTGGTGGTGACCTAGAGTTTGCTCTGGCAGGCCCGCAAAGCCCCAAGCTCTTGGAGGCGCTGGAAGGTTGGTGCGGAGAGAACATGACTCCAAAGTGTTTTGAAGACGCGAAATCAGCAAGACTCCTAGAGATGTTGAATACCTTGTCGGAAGAAACTTATTTGGAGCATTTTGCACGGACATGTTTTGTTGCAGACGAACTTGAAGACATCTCTGAAATTGACGACATTGATATTGAAGGAGTTCCCCAGGAGGTCAAGCAAGACGATGGGAAACCGTTGTCCGCAAGAGAACAGGAAGAACTCATGTTAGATCAACTTGCATTGCCCGGAGCCGACATGACGGAACAGAAACGAAGGCAGTTGTGGCGTGCTCTCCCCCAGAGGACCCGCGTTGCAATCCGTCGCTTGCGTCGGCAGTTCGGACATCCTGCACCGTCAACTTTGAAGAACATTTTAAAGGCAGGTAAGGCAAGCAAGGAGTTGATCGAAGCCGCACGTCTTGTCCGTTGTCAGTCATGCGAAGACACTGCACCACGTCCCCGTGACCATCCGGTAGGAAACAGTAATTTCCAGTATGAGTTCAATGCCATGCTTGGCCTTGACGTCACAGAAATGAAGGACTATGCAGGAAACAAGTACAGCATTCTCACAATGCTAGATATCTCGACAGGATTCCATTTGTCAGAGGTTGTCAAAGAAGGTGGAGGTATGCCAACGTCAGAGGCCTGTGCACAAGCCATTCTTCGTAGATGGATCAGTTGGGCAGGTTTTCCAAAGGCTGCAATCATGGATAGAGGTGTCCACAACCGAGGTGAGGTGTCCAAGCTGTTCGCTTCGCACGGTGTCGAGATCTTCTATGCACCATTGGAGACACCGTCAGCCATTGGCAAGGTTGAAAGGCACCAAGGTATCTTGAAGGCAATTCTCAGGAAGACCATCCATGACATGGAAGCCGTAGGTCGTGATGCATTTGAGACATGCTTGCATGAATGCACTTCCGTGAAGAACCACATGCAGAGAGTCCAAGGCTATTCTCCAGCACAATGGGTCCTGGGAAGGAACCCAAGAGTTCCAGGATCTGTGACAGACATGGATGAAGCAGGAAACTTAGGCATCTTGGAGAACAAGCTTGATCCTGCAGCAAGGTATCATTTGTGTCATGCATCCCGCATGGCTGCACAAAAGGCATTCATCCATTTGGACACAAGTTCCCGTGTTGCAAGAGCATTGACCAGGAATGCAGCAGTCCAGAACAAGAAGTCATTTGTGGTTGGAGACCTCGTGGTCTACCGTCGTGACGCCCAGCAAGGTGGAACCGTGTGGTCCACTGCTTCGCGTGTGATTGGCGTTGACCCGCATAATGGCATCTGGTTGCTACATGAAGGTGTTCCTGTTTTGTGTGCTGCTGGAAAACTCAGATCAGCCAATGAGAGTGAATCTTTGGCCTACTCCATTTTGAACAATATCCCGGTTTTCCCAGAAGCAGTGACATTGGGACAGCAGAAGTATATCCGAATGATGGACGAAGAGGCAAGCCCTAAGAAGGGACACAAGAGAGAAGCACAAGCAGAAGATAAGACGGGCAAGGCTGCCCGATCATCCGCAAGCGCAAGTGCAAGCGCAAGTGCAGTTCCGATGACCCCCGGAGGCATTGTCGGTGACGATGAGGTCATGCTTGCAATGGTTGACAATGAAGACCATTGGAGGATCTCTGAGAGTCATGCAATTCGTGTTCACAACAAGAGGAGATTCCATGACTTCCATCCGCTGTACGACGGAGATGTTCCGGAAGGATTCGGAGGAAGACGCGTGACCAGGAAAGTCTATGAAGACGGCAGTCGAGCGACCAGCGAGTCCATGCCGGGCATGGATAACGTTGACTCTCGCGCGTGGACAGGTTTCACCGTTTTCTCGCGGGTAAGACACCCGTTATAGTCGCCATGGCCGCCTTTGACGACGCTGGAAATGACACTGCAGAGTTCCGAGCATTCGTTGCTCAGCGCTTCGGAGAGGACAGCGAGACGCAAGCTGGCAAGGTGTCAAGGACGTTGCAGTATGAGCGCTGCACCCCTGAGATGCAGAAACTCATTCTGGCTGCCAGGCTGGCAGAGTGGAGCAAGTACAAGAGCTTCAACGCCGCCATGCCCATTCGGGGCAAGGAGTTGGAAGAGTTGCTTCAGGAGGGGCATGTTCCCATCCCCATGCAATGGGTGGATGTGGATAAGCAGGCCCATTTGACAGGCACGCCAGAACATCAGCCTGAAAACAGATCTCGTTTAGTCGCTTGTGGAAACCACGAGCTGGTGAGCCGTGGTGCACAGGGCATTCGCTGCGACAGTCCAACGGCCGAGACCGAAGGACACATGTTGATCGCAAGCCTCGCTGCAAGCCATCGCGTGACCCTGCGCGCGGCAGATGTTTCTTCAGCGTATTTCCAGAGTCAACCGATGACGCGGTTGCTGTTGCTCAAACAGCCACGTGGTGGAATTCCAAGTCCGGATGTTCCACCGGATGCAATGTTGGTTGCACGCCTTCCGATCTATGGCACGATCGACGCAGGCAGAGGCTTTTACTTGAGGATGAATGGTGAGATCACCAGTGCCGGGTTGAAATGCAGTCGCATCACACCTGCGTTGTACTACTTGCGCAATCCCAAGGGAAAGTTGATTGGCATGATCGCGACACATGTCGACGATTTGTTGTATTGCTACCTTGATGAAGGCAAGAAGACAATTGAAGGCATCCTCAAAAGGTTCACGATTGGCAAAACCGAGTCAGGCAGATTCCGATACTGCGGACGGCAGTTCGTACAGCATGAAGACTACTCCGTGAGCATTTCTACAAGTGAGAACTGCAGAACAGTGAAGCCGATCGAAATCGACAAGCGTCGGAAGCTGTCGGAAAAGGTGACAGAGAAAGAGTTGACAAGCCTCAGGAGCGTTGTTGGTAGCTTGGCTTGGGTTGCACGCTATGGAAGACCAGACCTTTGTTACCGTGTGAATGAGCTGCAGCGCGCATGCAGCGCGAAGGCGACAGTACATGACTTGAAGAACGCCAACAAGGTTGTTGAATTGGCACTTCAAGGAAGTGACTTGCAGATCACCTTAAGGAGTGATTGGATTGACTGGAGCGATTTGGCAGTTGTGACATTTAGCGACGCAAGTTTCGCAAATGAAGAGGGCTTCAAAAGTCAGCAAGGTCGCATTCACTACATCACGAATGCGAGCAGCCTCAAGGAAGGCAGTCGCAAGATGCATCTGATCAGCTTTGGTTCAACCGCCCTCAAAAGGGTGTGTCGTGCTACGTTGCAAGCAGAAGCATATGCTCTGCAAACTGCTGTCGAGCATGGAGATCGCCTACGGTGCCTGATTTGTGAGTTGACCGGACGACTTGACGACTTCAAGAACTGGCACGAGGAAACTCAGAGGCGAATGGCGCACGTCTACTACACCGATTGCAGAAGTCTATCAGACCACTTATTGTCTGAGGTTCCCAGGAAAGTGCAGGATAAAAGGTTGGGCATTGAACTTGCTGCATTGAGGCAAGGAGTATGGACTGTGAATGGCGAGAAGACATCGGAGATCTACAGTCCCTATGGTGACCACCTGAGGTGGATTGAGACGTCGAAGCAATTGGCAGACCCGTTGACCAAGAGCATGAAGCCAGACTACCTCCTCAAGACACTGGAAAGTGGACTTGTCAATGTTGAGAACAGTGGCGCATGCGAGAAGGGAGCCAAGAAGGAAGATGAAGAAGTCTCACCTGACTTGTTTTGAGAATTCAGCATGGAAAGGCATGGTTTACGGCCCCACGGGGAATCGAGTTTGCTTGGCTGACTTTGTATAGTTTTTGAACTGCGAAGCCCGCAACACACCTGTAGATAAGACGGGTGTGAATTTCACCGATTGTAGCCAGGGTGTATTGCGTACAGTTGGTGCACCGTCGCTGCTATTTGGCTGAACAGGCGCCTTGAGTCGATTCGCTGCTGCGAAAAGGAACCGTGCGAGAATCAAACTTGTATGGTCATTGAATTTTCTAAGATTGCCAGGTCTTTGGGACATTGGTGCTTGGATCTGTTGCCGATACATGGGGCAAGCGCAGGATGCTTGTTCTGATGCATTTTTGTTTCTGTTCCACGGGTTTGTTGCGCCAGGACTTTGTTGCTCAGTCTTTTTAGCTCTTCGATCTTTCTGTTGGCTTGCGGGTTGGCAGTCTTGGCCTCGCAATTTCTTGTGCAAATGGAAGAGGAAAAAGAGAGAGAGAGAGAGAGCGAGCGAGCGTGGGGGGAACATTGTCAGGTTTCCATTTGGCAACTGCTGCTTTTTCGCGCTGGCCATGGGTTCTTCGCTGGTACAGCGGCTTGGCAGATCTTTTTGAGTGCTGTGCTTGCTGAATGGTACCTTGCATGACCATTGCATGACCTTCATCCAAGGTCAGCATTTGTCAAGCCATTGTTGCGGATGTGACTCCGCCTGAGGCCAAAAACATCCCAGCAAACAACTTTATAGTTCCCAGTCAGCGTTCCCAAACTAGCTGCGCCTTGCAGGATAGAGTTGGAAAGATGGCTTTAATTATGGCAGCGTATGGTGTGAGTTCCTTAGAGGTTCAGTTTGGATTGAAACCCACCTTTCTCGAACGGGTTCATTGTCAAACGACTTGGCTATTGAACACATCTGGAAAATACGATTATATATATATATACACATACACACATAGTTGCAATCGCCACTTCACTGTGCCATACTTAGAGGCCCCACCGCAGTTTTCGTTGAGGTTGGAGTTGTCCTCGGACCCGGTTTGGCTGGCTTGATAGCCCCGTGGGGTGTGTGGAAAACTTAGCGGTTCAATCTTTTTTCACATCTCACATTATTTGCCAAGAAACCTCAGTATACAGTCCCTTCAGTAGCAGGTTCCCTGTTTGTGCAGTGGCATCTGCTTGCGCACTATGCAATTTCTGCATTGGTTGGTGGCAGATTCCAGCAGCTTGTCGAACAAGTGCTGCTGTTAATTTCTTGTTTTGGTGGTGTGCTTCCCGCAAAAGCCAGCTGGCAGAGCCCAAGGAAATTGCGCGGCCGAAGGCTTGGTCATCTGCTTGGGTCATGCTTTAGCAATGTCTGTTATGTCAAGCGCAGGAACCGGAAGCCACCCCAAAAGAGGTCAGCGACGCAGAAAAGGCTCAAAAACGTGAACAGATTTTGCTAAGTACCATGCACAGTACTCAAGAGGCATGTCAAACGACACGCACAAATAGAGAAGTGTACCTGAACCGCAGACCGCTTTCGTGGCTAAAGAAGTTTCCGCATGGTAGCGGAGCCTGAGAAGGTGACTCCTGCGGGTTTCACTGGAGGCTCCTGGAAACTTCAGGTGGGCCGGACGTGACCCAATCCGGCGGGTGCGATCCGCCATTTCGTCCGGTGGCATCTTGAAGATCGAGGGCATTGGAACTACCTCCTAAGCCCCAAGAAGGTCCTGGTGGTAGAGGATGGCAGGTTTTGGAGGTGAAGCACATGGCTCCCTTGCTGGATCACCCGCTGGCTCCCCAACGGGAGCGCAATTCGATGGCCAGGAGCTGGCTATGAGAATGGTACAAGCTGCTGAACAAGCGAGCGTTGCAGCACGTTTGGCGGCTGAGGCAATCAACAAAAGATCTGGATCTGATGATCGAGCCTGGTTTCGGGTGTTACCAAAACCCAATAGCTATGAGCCCAAATCCCGTGAAGATGAGCTTTCACTATGGAGGGACTTCAGCTGGGGACTCGAGCAATATCTGGGTTCGTTGGATGCAGGCTTCGTGGATGACATCAAGGAGGTACGAGAACATCCAGATCGGCCAATCGACCCATCCATCCAGACAGACGAGGAGCGTCAGAGGGGATCATTCCTCTATGCTTTGCTAGCCTCATTGGTCAAGCATCGTCCACTGTCCCTCATCAAGCAGGTCAAGGAGGCCAACGGCATGGAGGCTTACCGCGTGCTGGTACAATCACTTGAACCAGCTAGCAAAAACAGGTCGCTCGGGCTCCTGACGATGATCTTGGAGTGGGGCCAATTTGACATGAAGAAGGGTGGCATTTTGACACAGCTGCTTCGGTTGGAAGAGGCCTTCATTGAATATGAGCGCACTGGAAGCAAGCTGGAAGATAGTTTGAAGTTCGCCATCCTGATGAAGTGTGTGAGCGGCCAGCTTAAGATGTGGTTGCAGCTTCATGTAGCGGAGAGCCAGGACTACACTCGACTTCGTGAGGCGATCATCCAGTATGACAACGCTACATTGAAGTGGAGCTCAACGATGATGATGGGCCAGGACAGTGGAGGACCTGCTCCAATGGAGATTGACCGCATTGGTCAAAAGGGGGACAAAGGCAAAGGCAAGCAAAAGGGTAAAGATTCCCAGACCTTCAAGGGCAAGGGCAAAGGTGATGCCAAGACTTCGAAGGGCAAAGGAAAAGGTCAACAGAAAGGCTCAGACTACAGTCAGGGAAAGGGCCAACAGAAGAGCAGTGGCAAAGGTGACAATCAGAAGGGACAGAAAGGAAAAGGCGATGGAGGCCCAGTCAAGGTTTGCTACACCTGTGGTAAGCCTGGTCACCTTGCAAGAGATTGTTGGCGAGTTCAGCAAGTGGCTGATGGTTCCCCGAATCAACAGACGCAGAATCAAGGTGATTCATCTTCGACATGGACATCTACAAGCGGGAGCCAATCGACCGCTGCTAAGACCGCAACGGTGAAGAGGATTGTTGAGCTGAGCCCAGTTTCACAAGAATTTGATGAACCCCTGGTTTTCGACTTGAGGGGACCGATGCATGATGGCCAGGTGAGGATGATTCAGTTCTACCGCCTGGATGAGGAGGACGCCAACGAGAAGGAGTTGAGCATCATGGTGGTTCGAGAAGGAGGTCAACACCATGATCCCTATGGAACCTGCTCCATCATCGTGGATTCCGGAGCAGATGCAACAGTGCTACCGATCTCCTACCTGTCAGCGGGTGTTGAGATGGAAGAGGAAGGACCCATGCTGCAGGATGCACAGGGAGAGCAGATCAACATTGAGGGCTACAAGAGTGTATGCTTCGTGTTTGAGGCTGAGAGTGGAAAGGAGGTTCAGATCTATGAGAAAGCCCATTTCTCCAAGGGCATTGCACAGCCGATCCTATCATTTGGACGGCTGATGGAGAGTGGCTGGGGGATCACAGATCACTCCTTAGTCTATGGTGCAGGTGATCGTGAGATCAAGATTCCCCTACGCCTGCAGAACAAGAGCTTGGTGGCAGAGGGCAGTGTCAGGACTATCTCAATGGAGCCGCAGATGGTGAGAGTTCTTGAAGCGAAGCTCAAGGAGGACCTGGAGGAGAAAACCAGGTTTCAGGTGGGATGGAAGAGCTTTGAAGACAGGTGGATTGGCATTCACTTGGCCAAGACCTTCCAAAATCCACAGTATGTGGGGAACATCCCATCGTCAGTGAACTGGAAGAGAACCACGCTAGCAAAGGTTGCTGGCGGGTGGCAGCTTTTGGAGATGTGTGAGGACCTCCACAAGGTCTTCAATCAGGAGGAAATGATTGAGGGTGCCCATGAGAATGTCCTGGTGGTGACTATCCTCACCAAGGAGGCGATGAGCGTGGAAGAGATGGGTTTCGAGGTTGAGACTGGACTTCATTTGGATGAGCAGCCCATGGTAGTCCGGGACCATGAGAGAGCAGAAGAGGAGGCAGGAATTCCAGAGGAAGAACAGCCTGCAGAGAGAGTTGAAGAGGCAGAAGGAGAAGTTGAGCCAGAGGCCAGGTTGGCTATGGGACCAGGAGTCCCAGACCACATCATGGTCAATGGCATCCAGCTCACTGCAGTCAGCCCTTTGAGACAACTGAGGGCGGCGTGCAATTTCTTTGGTGTGAGCCAGTCTGGAAGCCGGTTGAGATGCTATCAGCGCCTGGTGAGCCACATGAAGGAGAGGGAGTTGAAAGCAGCTGCAGAAGCAGTGGCAGCGGCACAACTCCAGGTGGCCCGACAACCACGAGAACAACCAGGCATTCCAGTTCCGTCACAGGAGGAGCAAGAGAAGCACAACCTGACGCATGTGCCGTACCAACCTTGGTGCCCTTCTTGTCTCAAGCACAGAGGGAGGCCAGACAGACATTTGAATACAGGAGCTTCGAGGCTCAGTGGCATTCCCATTATTTCACTGGACCTATGCTATATGAAAGCAGGAGAGGTCGACAGACATCCACAGCCTTTGGACCGAGGCCAGGAGGATGAAGGGATGGTCATCGACTTGTACGAGGAGGAGGAAGCAAAGGAGGCAGAAGAGCTACGCATTCGAGAGCTCAAGCCGACGATGTGGCTGATCATGGTGGACAGTCAGACAGGGACACTTGGCTCTGTCCCGTTGAAGTCGAAAGGACAATTGAGTTTGATGGCTCGAGAAATCATGACCTTCATCCAAGGCCTTGGCCATGTGGAGGTTGGCCTGTATGCAGACAATGAACCTACTATGAGGGCACTGCTACGTATTATTTTGAACAGTCGGCACTCCATGGGCTTGAGAACGAGGCTGTACACGACCAAGGTGAAGGATTCAGCAGGCAACAGCTTGGCGGAGAACGCCATCCAACGTGTACGAGGACTTACTTGTACCCTCATGACAGATGTGGCTGAGAAAACAGGCCTGACCTACAACACCAACCACACGCTATGGAGTTGGGCTTCAAGACATGCATGCTGGCTCCTAAACAGGTATCAGGCAACGAAGGGCATCACCAGTTACGAGTTAGTTCATGGAAGAAACTACGATGGTGCAGTGGTGCCATTTGGATGCCCGGTCTATGCCTATGTGAAACCACAAAGTGGAAAGGGAAACCCACGTTGGAGGATGGCTTTGTTCCTGGGCAAGACAGATGGCCAGGATGCCTGGATCGTGGGTGATGGGAGTCAGATTATGTTGACGAGGTCCATCAGGAGAGTCAACAGGCCATGGACAGGTTTCCTCAGCTACTTCCAGAACTTTGTGACGGCGAGCTGGGAATATCAAACGAACTTTGGTGGAAGGATCATTCCCACCAAACGTGCCGTGACAGGGATACCTCTGAGAACCGGATCGATGCCAGCATTGGAGTCGGTGTTCTTCAAGTACAAGGATGAAGAAGCTGAGGAGGTGAAGAGGTACGCCCAATCCCGAGAGGGATTAGCTGAACACGAACAAGAGATTGAAGAAGCTCGGCAAGAGAGAGAAAGGGCCGAACTACAAGATGCTGCTGAAGGCCTACCAGCACCAAGCGCCCCGCAGTTAGATGAGCCCAATACAGGAATTGCTACACCCCCAGTTCTTGCACCGCATCCTGAGGGTAGGGGCCCAGGAGGAGATGTTCCCATGGTGATTCCACCACTCCCATGGGACAATGAAGATCCAGTACCTCCTGAAGGAAGGATTTTGCGAAAACTTCCACCTCCTCCGTCGGCAGCAAAAGTCGAGCCCGAGAGCAAACGAGTGAGGATTGAGGAGCCGAGTCGAGAGGGAGCATCCTCGTCAGCTTCAAGGACCGCTATGATTGAGAGAAGGGTGGAACGTGTCTATGTAGATGGCCAAGACCTCTACCATTTGGATGAGATCATTGACCCGGAGGCTTTGGCTATTGAGGCAGAACCAGAGGAAGCAGAAGAGTTGGAGCCAGGTGCCATTCCAGAGGGTCTGTGGTCAGATCATCCATTGACTCAGACACCTCCACAGCCTTCAGCGGAAGTGGATGCAATGGCTCGTAGAGTTGAGGAGAAGCGACTGACTGGGATGGAGGTGATTGAGAAGCTGAAGCCGGAGGAGGCTGACTTGGATGTGCTCACAACGAGGTTCGTCTATGACTGGAGGATCAAAACCTATGTGGGCAAGGATGGCAAAAAGTCCAAGAGGTGGTTGAGGCGAGCAAGACTGGTGGCAAGAGACTATGCAGTGGACAAAAGGGACGATGTCTATAGTCCAGCCAGTGGTCAACATGCTCTTCGCCTACTACCTGTACTTTTCTTGACAGCAGCAAGTGCAGAGATGGACTATGAGCACACCAAGGGTAAGCCGGTGATAGGAGCTTTGGACGTCAAGGATGCCTTTCTACAAGTCCCACAGGAAAGGCCTTTGAGAATTATCACAACAATGGGAGAATACAAGGTGCTGCGAAATCTCCCAGGGCAGAGGATTGGCGCCAAAGCTTGGTATGAACACCTCAGGTCCTATCTCATTGAGCAACAGGGCTTTGAGTTCGACATCATCAATCCCTGTCTGGGAAAGAAAGGTGCAGGAGAAGATCTGGTGACCATTCTAATCCATGTGGATGATGTGATGTTCACTGGCAGGGAGAGGCCAGTATCAGAGTACAGTACATCGGCCAGATGAAGGAGAAGTTTGATATCGAGGTCAACATGGCGAAGGAGTATGGAGAAGAGTTTTCGTTCCTCAAGAGGAAGTACGTCTATACCGCAGAAGGACTACTGGTCAAGCCTGGGGGCTATGCAGCAAACATGGTGAAGACGTTCGAGGATTACTTTGGACCAGTGAGGAGGCAGCGCATTCCTGCTACTGCTGATATCCAAGACTATGATGGTTCAAGTACGGTCCCACCAGAACAAGCTGCAATATACAGATCCGTGGTCGGTATGGGCATCTACTTGGCGCAGGAACGATGTGATATCGCCTTCTGCATCAAGGAGCTGGCAGGGAAGATGTCAAGCCCGACAGAGATCTCCATCCACAAGATGAAAAAGTTCCTTGGATATTTGAAGGAGACAGCAGATCAGTCAATGATGCTGCCAATGCCAAGGCGAGGTGAAGGAATGAACACCCACAGCCCACATCTCTGGGTGTTGGAGAGCTACACTGATGCTGATTGGAGTGGGAACAAAGTAACGAGAAGGAGTACTTCATCAGCAGTACACGCCATCAATGGTATTGTGGTGCACTGTTCATCCAGAGGACAAAAGGTGGTCAGCTTATCCTCAGCAGAGAGCGAGCTTCATGCCCTAGTCGCAGGGGCATGCGATGGGATATGCTTGAAGCACAGCTTGCAGTTTTTGACTGGTGATGAGGTGCATCATATCTGTTGGGTGGACAATTCAGCTACACGCCAGATTGCATGCAAGCGAGGTGCCGGAAAGCTGCGCCACGTAAGTGGCAAACTGTTGTGGTGCCAGAGCAAAGTTGCTTCTGGGGAGCTTGAGGTCAGACAAGTTGGGACGGCTCGCAATGTTGCTGATATCGGCACAAAACCGCTATCCCAACAACGACTTCGACTCCTACTATACCTCCTACAGGCCCGTGATGGAGAAGGAGCACGAGTGGGCCAGAGGGAGTTTGAACAGTTCAGAGAGCAGCACATTGAAAAGGGAAAGTGATGAAGATTGCAAAGTATCTGAATAGGCTGGTCTTGGTCAGCGGTCTTGAGTTGGCTACTGGAGCAAGGGTGGAACCAGACCTATCAGAGGAAGTTAGTTACATGGACAAGCTCTTCTACCTCATCATGATTGCGGCGGTGATCTTCATGGTATGGTGGATTCGGAGGAGGTTCAAAGACCTGGAGAACAGGATTGTGATCCTGGAGAACGAGCTGGAGGCGGTGAAGTACAACCACATCAGCACAGCCAATGAGCAGGAACGAGTTTGGTCTATGCAGGTGGACTATACTCAGAGAATCCACAGGGCATTGATCTACAGGGGAGGCTATGTCGAGGACCACTCAATTCGTGATGGTCTGGAATGGGATACCCTGAAGTTCCTGGAGAAGATCAACCGGCGACACGAAGGGCTACATCTCAAGGTGCAGTGGGATGTGGTGAATCAACGAAGACGAGAACAAGGTGAGTCAAGGATTCCTAATCGGTTTTCCATTGATGACCCTGGACCTCCACGAGATGACCCTGGAGATGAGAGGATGTTGAGCGGTGAGACGGCTACTGTGGAGCTCGACAGTGGCCAAGTGGTCGACATTCCCATCGAGTACCTGGAGATCGCTCGAGAGGTGATTCAAGCTCCAGGTACATCGAGAGAGCCAGAACCAAGCCCAGAGGGAGACGATGAGGACATGGAGGGCGAGTCAACACCGGAGCAGACAGATCCAGATGCTTGGCAGCCGGAACCAATTGAGATCCCTGAGTCGAAATTTGCTTTTTACAACCGGCCCTACAACAGGGCAGATTTGAAAGCTCGACAGGAGCTAGCAAAGATTGAAGCCAGCTGGTACCATGCCACGAGGGCTGGAAACCAGCAAATGGCTGATGATATGTATGTGAGAATGGAAGAGTGTTTTGAGTTTATGGATCCTGAGCCTGAAAGGCCATGAGATCACAAGCGAATTTGCAACTCCGCTCGTGAAGGAGGAGTGCTAAGTACCATGCACAGTACTCAAGAGGCATGTCAAACGACACGCACAAATAGAGAAGTGTACCTGAACCGCAGACCGCTTTCGTGGCTAAAGAAGTTTCCGCAGATTTACATTTACAAGTTCAGTCTAGAAAAGATAAGTCACGATTGATATTGCCAAATGCATGGTCCTGGTACGGTGGCTTTTTGCCCGCTTTGACCTGATCACCCAGGAAGCTTCGCCTACAAAACCAGTCAGTGCGCTGCGCGGATGGAGAGAGCTTTTGCGAGCTTTACTGTCCGACATGACTTTGGCTGCAGCACTTTGGCAGCATGCCTGTCCTTTTTTCCTGCCGGTGTTGGACAATAATGTTTCCATAGATCATGATCATAAGCTAGATGAAGCAGCCTAATTCGCATAGGCTTTGTGGCATGCCACTCCAAATGCGTCGACTTTTGCTTAACTGTGTTGCTCAGCTAAGGTTTGTTTCTTGAGCTTTTGCCAGGACGCATCGCGACACACAAGACTGAACGAGTGCTCATGACATCTCATGACAACCTGGTTCGCAGGAGCTTGGCATGGGAATATTCATGGGAGTGTCGGCCTTGTTTTTTCAGGACTATGGTTTTCAAATTGCAAGTGCTGCAAGTGCTGTTCCATCTTCCAAGCTTTGTCCATGGTTGTGAAAACTCGATACGAACCATCAGACTCAGACAGCCGATTTTTGCTCAGTTGAGTCTCAGGACAGATATGGCATTACCGCCAGTCAGCTCGGGCTTCTATTCTGCGCTGCTGGTGCTGGCATGGTGGCCTTCCAGGAGATGCCCAGCAGCCACCCCCTATTTTCCTAACGCAGTGGAAGCACACTTGAAAAGACAGATAGAACAGGGGTGTACCACCTTGTCCTTTTTGTAGGGATCTGCCTTTGCATCACCCGTGCTTAGTGTAATTTGCATTGCCTGCTGCTACTTCTATTGCACCTCATCTAACGTGTGCCCTGAACCAAAATACAGTATCCAAAGAGGTCCCAACAACAAAGCAACGGAGCAAATGATTATATAATAGATTAGATCAATATTTGTTTATATTTGTTGAATACATGGTGTTGGGCTAATTGAAATGAAGCACCGCTTCTTAAGCATGAAAGGATGCTCTTTTGACAGGACATTCGGTCTTTTTGAACATAAAGAATGACGCGCTGAAAGTGATTGGCTTCTTACTAGAATCCTGTGATGTTACTTACAGTAACTTTGAACGTTTTTTCCCTAAAATGATTGGATATCCCACTGCAATGAACTTCTCACTGCAATGAACTTCTCATTTGTGGTCGAAACGAAATCATGTTTGTTAAACACCTGGAGTGCTTCAAATGAAGAGTGCAAGTGCACTGTCACAGTCCACGTCCTGATTTCTTTCGCGGGGCAGGGCTTTGTCGTGAGCAAGTTTGTCAAGGCAGTTGGCAGGCACTTGTCCAAGGGCAAATGTGTAGATGGTAGTTGCAATGCATTCATATATAGGTTGGGCGATGGCATGCAATAGTGCCAATTGAACTGAACAGTGGGTGAAAACGGTCCGTGTTTGCGCCTATTCAATCTGCCCAAGGCCAATCAGTATCCTGTGTGGATGGTCACTGCGCCCCTCAGCTGGAATACGTGTGGAGTTGGCGGAGGATTTGATCAGCAATCCTTGCACGAGGCCTGTCTATTTATTTAGCTTTGGCCTCTTTGGACTTCGCAATCATTCCTTGGCTTTCTGCGGCCGCTGGGCTGGCATAGTGCTTTGCACTTGATTACCTTTGATGATGAGGGAGGCTGACAACCTTCTCTGAACACTCAGGTTTGCGTGGTTGCCGGCGGGGCCCTCATTGACCCCTGCGCAGCCAGCCTTACAAGTGACAAGGCCCCACAGGTGGGGAACCTCCGGCACGGGTTCCCATGTTTTTTTTCACATGTGGTGCAGTGTTGCTTTTGTGTTCAGGGGATGAGCGGCATCTTTTTGGGGGCCTACCAGGCTTTCCATCCAGCTCATTCTTGAATAGGTTCTACTACTCCACTCAAGTGGGCCAAGAGCCCTTTTCCAAGGCTGCTGCTTCGATTGGGAGTTTCATGGGCCCGTTTTTGGGTGGATTGCTGTATGACTATGTGCAGCTCGTCTTTATTTTGGTATACGGTATGCGTACAACATATATAGATGACATCGATTGAGGATGACGCTCTGTTTGCTTTTGTAGGCACACTGGGCCGTACTGGCTGGCATCCGACTGGACCTTGGTATAATGGAGGCTATCAGGCTCTCATGTGAAGCCGCTTCAGGTCGCTTCGCTCCTTTGCCTTCCGGCAGTGCTGACGCTGTTCAGGCAGCACTGGCGTATTCATGTCATGCTCGCATTTAGTCTACACTCAGCCTATCTAAGGTTGCAGCACTCATCCGAGAAAGGCTCAATCTATTTTCACCACCTACGCTCCGCATGCTATTGTTGTTTGTTTGGAGGAGCTGCCAAGGAGCCACTGATCGCCGAAGAGGCCTTTAACTTAAAATTTTAGTCTCCTTTGTGTCTTCGCTTCCTCTGAGCAGGAAGACGAAGAGGAGCAGCCCATCGAAAAACTGCTCAGTGAGGCTCAAGACAAGCTATTATTGAAGCAGATCCTTGACAAATGTTTGCCGAGTTGCAAAGGCCTTTTTTTGACCAGAAACCTTCAAACGTCTTTGTCTGTGCTTCGGGTCAGCCTGTGCTTGCTGAATGTTGTTGCCTAGTTGGTGTCCACGTAGTGTAAGTAGACCACAGATTCATTTTAATGTAGCTCGTATGATGCATTCTTTGTCTTCTCATTGCATATCGCTCTCATTTCTTTGTACTTCCCGGTCATTCCTAAAGCAGGGCAAGCGTCGGCAAGCGTTCTTGCTGGTTGAGATTGTTTCTCGTTTTGCCGCAGCGATCTGCCTCCAGGCATCCCCCACGCGTAAGCGTGCTATTGGACGAGCAGCGATTGGTCTCAGGCCATGTGACCATGTGATGTTTTGTCCGTTCTTTTTCAATCGTGGACGGATGGTTCCCAGGTCCATCGCAGATGTAGGTCTTGGACCAAGTGTTCAAGTTCAGCATGCATACAGCAGTTCATGCTTGCTGTCCGTGATGTGCTGAGGCCCAGCACTCTCCATGTTCCAGCTTCCTCTTCCTGAGTTGGCCTGCCGAACCCTCCGACACAAGGTCCGTGGCGAATTGTGGTCTGAAAGAGCCGAGACGGGCTGAGACTGTCAGCCCTGAAGACGCCAGGACCGCATTTCCGATGAGAGCTTGGGCCGGACACTCCGCTCGAAGACGGAGGTGTTTACACCGTCCGTGCGAGAAAGGCCCAAGTTTCAGGTTCAAAGCAGCAACTGTTTGCGCAAGTGGACAGGGCAAGCTTGCAGGTCAATGAGCCTGGAAAGGATACTACTAAGACAGTATTCGATGCAAGCGAGTGACAGGCAGGGCTGCTCCGTGTAAAGAGGTCTAGACAGGGTTTCAGAATGCACCAGTTTTTATGCGGATGTTCCAAGCCTCTCATGTCATGTTCCTTCACACTTCACACTGGCTAATCGGGCTCACAGCTGCAAGCCTCGGATTGTGTGCCGGCATCCGCGCTCCCAAAGATGGAACGAGGAGTGAGCACAAACAAGTTAAAGACTATATGCAGTATTACTTTTCAATTTCGTCGTTGTGAGGAGAAATATCTTACGAATGCTACATATTAGCCGGTGTCACAGGCAAGGTCACCCAATTCGTACCCTTGCTGCATCGCTGTATTCTGATTTCATGCTCAGTGCGACGCTTAGTGGCACTGCAACTGTTTGGCTCCACTGAGGTTCTTTTTCTTTGCTGTTGTGCTGCTGCTTGGTGGCACTGATGCGAAGCCTGAAGAGAGCCTGTGCTTTTGTGTTGGTGGTGTGTCTGTGTGTGTGTGTGTTTCAGCCTGTACCTGACTTTCCTTCTCTTGAGGCTTTGCTGCTAAAGTGGTCTCAATTCCATGATGGCAGAGACTTTTTTGAGTTTCTCATGGATTCCTCCAAGCAGCTAATAGGTGCTTTTGGGGTGCGGGAATTCTCAACGGCGTTTTTTTTTTTGGGTCTTTTAGTTGTAGTTGGTTCTTTGACCTTGAAGAACTTGAATGTAGGTGCTGGCTGGATTCACATTCTCAACCTCCTTTTTGCGCAACTTGGTGATTCTGCACAAGTGGAAAGCGTTTAAGGAGTTTGCTCGCCTCTTTTTACCTTGACATCCTTTTGAGCAAGAATCTCAGGAAGAAGCTGGAGTCCCACTTTGAGTCAAGCGGCGGAGACGAATGTGACTGGCTACTTGCTCAGATTCAGACCAAATGCATCGTTTTCGGTTCTGTCGTGTTGCAAAGAGATAAGTGTGGAATTTGTGTGCGAGCTGAGGTATTGGATAAACATAGTTGTTGATTGCACCCTCGGTGTTGGTGTGACCTTCCTTCTTCTGCAACTATCAATGAGGCCACTGGAGTATGACCTCGCCAAGCTGTCTTTGTTCTTGAGTTTTGCCTTGATTGACATTGATTCATGCCTCTTTGCTTCAGCGCTAGTAGCTCTTCGTAAAGCTGCTTGGGGCTTGTTGCAGATTATCAGTATACATGGAGCGCGGGTTAAATTTGAAAACACAGAGGTACAATGCTCATAGGCTCATAGGTCAAGCAAGAGAGAAGCAACGCCAGAAAGAGAGGAAAGAAGAAAGAAAGCATGCAGGCAAGAAAGCACGAAAGAAAGAACGAAGCAAAGGAAAACAACAAGGCAACAAACGGTCTGAAAGGTTCCAGGATCTGATTTCAATCCCCCGACGCACCCAGAACGCCCCCACAAAAAATCTGCGCAAATCTGCATTTAGCAATTTCTCTCAAACCCATCCTTTGCTGCTATCATGGTCACAGAACCAGGACCATGTGTGTGAAAGAGTAGCCGTGTCCAATGCACTTCCAGGGGGTTCGGAGCAGCCAAAGCAAGACACCCTGCACCTCTTCGGGAAGCCTACACTCACAACGCCAACCAGATGGATGATAGGGCTACTACTACTACTGCTACTGCTACTGATACTGCTGCTGCTGCTGCTACTGCTACTGCTGCTACTGCTGCTGCTACTGCTCCTGCTGCTGCTACTACAACAACAACAACTACTACTACCACCACTACCACTACTACCGCTACTACCACTACTACTACTGCTACTACTTCTACTACTACTACTACTACGACTACGACTACGACCACGACCACCACCACGACCACGACCACTACTACTACTGCTACTACTACGACTACTTCTACTTCTACTTCCAGTTCTACTTCTACTTCTACTAGAGCTACAACTACAAATGCAACTACAACACCAACACTACGACTACGACTGCGACTATACGACTATACGATTATGACTACGACTCCGACTGCTAATACTAGAGAGCGGGTGTGCATGGGAGAGCACACACTAGCTCAAAACCTTCAGAAAACACTGTAAATACCGTGCAAAACTTCCAAAAACTGCTCTGGGACCAAGGCGAAACGCATATACTACTGACTAGTAACTTAGGACTTGTCGGACATACACGCCAATTCCAAAAGCCTATGTCATCAAGATTGATCCAACATTGGCATTTCCTCTTAAGGCCTATGTCATCAGGCCACAACCATGATATTCATAGAAATATGTATGAGGTATTCAAGGAAGCAGCGCCCGCAAAAACACATAGTCGCACCCTATGTCACCACTGTGTCACCAGGGTGCCAGGCAGTGGTATCTAGCATTATTTAGCTCGAGGAGGTGTCCACAGGTCCTATGACACCAGGTTTCCCAACCCAGACCTTTTTTTTAGCTCGATATGTCAGGGCACATGACTTAGCCCTGGGGGTAGCCAGATTGGTATGTCACTTGCATCACGTTGGCCTAAGTCATTAGACAGTAGTATATTTTCTAACCTTCCTGTGCCCAGTCTGGATGTGCAATGTCAATTACAACAATTAACGGCTCTTCGTCTGCTTACTATCAATGTGTAACACCCATGACGAGTAGGTTAATTTTTCTCTGCGCGCAATGAATGTAGCATCATGAGCGAAAATAAAGATACTATATGTATATATATATATATTTACATCAAGATGATCAAGGTGAACATGTATGTCAATGATATTGCTTTAGTCTCTTGCTTCTGGTTTTTCATGATGTTTTTTTTTTTTTTATGTGTCCATTTTGTAAAAAACATCTCCCAGGAGCACCCGTATTGTTAATAAACAGGCCCCCCCCTCCCCTCACTTTGACTTTGAATAAAGTTCATTCCAGATTCTAAGAAAGGAGCTTAAGAAGTACATGAAATGAATCCTTACTTAGGGCAAATTCCTGGAATTGAGAGATCAAAGAGACTTCTAAGAAAATATATAACTTAATAAGGAAATGAAAAGAATCTTTTATTGACACAGACAGGAAATTCTAAGAAAGGAGTTTAATAAGGAAATTACATGAATCTTTAGTTAGAACGTCTAATAAGTGAAATGAACTTTATATAGAACAGAGAGGGAATTCTAAGAAAGGATAGTAATAAGGGCTCCCTTTTTTCACCCTTGAACAATGTTTTTTTTTGAAACTTCCTTTTTTTTGAATCACCCTCGAAACTTTTTTCACCCTCAACATTTATTTTTCTTTTTCCACCCTTTGGAACTTTTTTTTCACATCCTTCCAAAACCTTTTATTTTCACCCGGCACCCTGTCATTTTCACCCTGTAGCATGTTTCTTTCACCCTTCACCTTGCTTTTTCACCCTTTACCCTTTCTTTTTCACCCTCCGCCGGTGAAGCAGGTAACCCCTGGAACCTGCACAGAGAACGATGTCACCTCCGGTTTGTTTCACCCCGCTTGTCCCTGCACCTGCCAAACCCTTTGTTTTCACCCCAACAACTTCTTGTTACTAACCCTTCAAAGCCCTCCGGAAACTGCGCAGAGACTGTCTGGAACGACGGGAAGTGCCGGAAACTGACTCGGACACGTCCGGAACGTGAGGCAGCACAGGATCCGCCCATCCATCCATCCATCCATCCATCCATCCATCCACCGACGGGGTGCCAACCAGCCAAGCAACAACGCGGCCAAGCCGACAAACCAACCAAGTAACCAACAAGCCAAGCAACCAAACCACATAACTCCGTGTTTTCCCCATTTTTCCCCAAGTGCTGTAGACGCTAGAAATCCCGTGCGGGGGAGGCTTGGTTTGCATTGTGGGGGAGGCGCTGCGCCCTCCCCATTTACACAGCATCCATCCGTCCATGCACCCATCAACGGAGTGCCAACCAACCGATCAACCAACCAAGCAACAACGCGGCCAGAACCAACAAACCCACCAAGCAACCAACAAACCAAGCAACCAAAACCACCGCTGCGCCCTCCCCCGCCCCCTCCCAGCATGCATCGATCCATCCATCCACCCATCCATCCATCCATCCGTCCATCCGCGCAAGCAGAAAAATTTACATATCCATCAAGCACTGTATCACGCAAACAATCACGGCAAGCAAACCAACAAACCAACGCACCAAAAAGTATCCATCACTGTATGTGTTTTCACCAAATCCAAGCAAACAACAAGCCAAGCAGGCTGAACCAACCAACACACCAACCAAAGGAAGTAGAGTAAAAAAGAAAGGGTGGGTAGCCCACCAGCAACAAGCAAACCAAGCAACCAAACGCTTTCCCAAATGCTGTCGATACTTGCTGTGCATTGGTAGCCCGCCAAGCAACCAACAAACCAAGCAACCAAAACCACACAACCCTGTGTTTCCCTAAAGGCTGTCGATACTTGGTTCGCATTGCGGGGGAGGCGCTGCGCCCTCCCCCGCACCCCTCCCGCCTTTATTTACACTCCATCCATTTATGCATCCATGCATGCGTCCATCCCCGCCCGCCATTATTTACAGACCATCCATCCATCCATCCATCCATCCACCCATGAAACAAGCAAGCAACCAACAAACCAAGCAACCCAAACCACACAACCCTGTGTTTGCACCAAATGCATCCATTTATGCGTCCATGCATGCGTCCATCCCCGCCTGCCATTATTTACAGACCATCCATCCATCCACCCATCCATCCACCCATGAAACATGCAAGCAACCAACAAACCAAGCAACCCAAACCGCACAACCCTGTGTTTTCACCAACTGCGGTCGACACTTGGTTTGCATTGCGGGGGAGGCGCTGCGTCCTCCCCCACGGCCCCCGCCTTTATTTACACAGCGTCCATCCATCCATCCATCCATCCACCCACACAAACAGAAAAATTGCATGTCCATCAAGCACTGTATCAACAGCAAGCAAACCAAGCAACCAACACACCAAAAAGTTACAGGCCGTACCGACCAACACACCAACCAAAGGAAGTGGGGTAAAAAAGAAAGGGTGGGTAGCCCACCAAGCCACCAGCAAACCA